TGATCGTGGGTGGGTTTTTATAATATTGTATTAATAATATATTTATATGTAGTGCATGTGATAATATGTAATCCACGCAATTCAGCTTCTGGCTGCAATGTGGTTTCAATTTAATAATAATAATAATAATAATATATATATATATATGCATTGCATAATGGTCATTAGCAGCGCATAATGGTCGTTAGCGGTGCGTAACTATATGGACTATTGGTAGCTTGTTTGTGCAGCGGATGACTCATTTGCTAGGAACGTGTTTTGACGTCAGGTCGTAAACAAACAAGACTTTAGTGTATGTAAAGACAACGACTTAAGCGAATTTCACTTCGAGAATCATGGAATAATCACAGTTCTCGGGGAAATCGCATTCATGAATAGTACAGTATGAATGATTTTGAATGATGTTATACTTTTATATATCATGAAATTTCGGTAAACTTGAAAGAATATAAAACGAAACTATACTTCACTATCGACAATGACTTCAATTTAATTAATCACAGAAACTTTGACCGTGTAAGCGAACCTTTAAAGTTCAGAAGATATCTCTATTTTCGGCAAGTTGTCCGTTCGTCAAACCGTCCGTTCGGCAAAATGTCCGTTCGGCAAAATGTCCGTTCGGCAAAATGTCCGTTCGGCAAAGTGTCCGTTCGGCAAACTGTCCGTTCGGCAAAATGTCCGTTCGGAAAAATGTCTTTCGGCAAAATGTCTTTTGGCACTGAAAATGTCCGGGCACCGGGTTCTTCAACTTTCGGTATAATATATCATTTATAGACCCTCCGCTAGGGGGATTCGGCGATATATTACCCTCAGTGATGATACATCACTGGCCGGGGGATAATATTTCGTCGAATCCTCCAAGCGGAGGGTCTATAAATGATAAAAACTGACCCACCTCGTGAACAAGATTATCTCCTTCGTTTATGGGTGATATTGCCCCACCGGGTAATGTACCTGGGTGAATAACCACCCCATGATAAACACTGTCTTCGTCATGTGACCAAGGATATGAGGCATGACCAAGCACATTAAGGTCTTTTAATGCGCATGTGTAAAGATTTAGTTTCATGTCGGTTGATTGGGCCAGGATTTCTTGGAATTGTGGTATATAGGAAAGACAATCACTACTCCAAGTCTCGTTCATGATTCGTTCCACTGATTCCTGGAAAATATATAATGAATGGCGTTTCCAGTCAGAGCAGGACAACATGGAAATCAACTGGACTCTTCATATCATGCCAATCCAATTATTTAATGTCTTTATTAACTTTAAGCAGGTGTTACTTACTGTTTTGAATATCAACGAAGTGTTTTCGTATGCTCCTGTAAAACAATAACAAAAAATATGTGACTTTAATTAAATTAAGTACTACCTTATAAATAAACTTTGTTTATCGTTGTCGATCCAAATTAATACACAAGCCTTGCAAAATTGGGTGATTAGAATTAATTAATAATGATTTATTCCATTGAAATTTCAGGTACACTCTCTGCATGACCACATACTCGTCAAATAAAAATTGTCGGTCGAAATCACATTCTTCCACGAGTTCCATCGTTGGGAATTGAAAAACATTAACTATGCAAAGTTAATCAATCCAAAAGCAACGCGAGCCTGCTTGCAAGCTATTTGTTTCGTAAAACGTTTTGATTACGAATGTTCTCTGTTCAGTGGTTAATTGAACCATGTTTAATGGACGTTCTTAATGTGTCACTAAGTGTACTAAGACGAAGATGGACGAGTTGAGCTCATTTTAGTGCAATCCCAACGGTGGAAGAATGTAATTTCGACCGGCAATTTTTATTTGACGAGTATGTAGTCATTTCTGATCGTTAAGATTTAAAGAGTATCATATTGAAAAGCTAAATAACTGTTCTTTCGTATGTAAAAATTGAATTGTTTAGCCACGTTTGTGATGCACGACAGCCTGTTGAATTTGCATAGCGTTTTTTTAGACATCCTGTATATCTGGTTAGAATTAGGATTACTTGAAGGTATAAATAGAAGGTTGCATTTAGGACATTGTGATTTTTGTAAATCAAGCTAGGGTGTCAATCTATCCCAAAAAGTGCGGGGGCGGACCCCAAACTAGGAAGGTCCGGAGATATGCTACCCGACATTTTTTTCCAAATTTTGGTACACTGAAACGGCATTCTCAGCGTTTTGGAGGCACTTATAAAGTTATATTACAATGTGCATGATCTTAAATCCATGTTTAACCATGTGAGAAATCCGCTAAAAACCAACATGTCCTAGCCTGTGAACAAACGTTACTGGCCAATGTTTTTGCTCTACAGCCTGAGCCTGTGGGCCCCCATTTGGCCCCCGGGTCGCCCGGTCTAGCTGAACCCATAGTAGTTACGCCACTGACGTCTGTTCACAGGCTAACATGTCCTCGCACTTATTTTAATGCTAATAATCTATTAAATTAACCATTTGCCTTATTTTGATGATAATCATCTATGTATGGGAAACTCGGTTAAAACACAATTATTTTTAAGTATTTACAATTTTACATAACATATGCGATGTCAGTATTTGCTCCCGGCGGCTACAGAAAGATTATACTTTGTACTTCTTCTTAATATTAAATGTCTTCCTTTCAATCAAAATTTTAAAGATCAATCGCATACCATGCATTAGGTTTCAAGATAACCAAGAAACAAAATTTCATTAAACATGTCAAAAAGTGTGTGGGGGGGGGGATAATTAGATATTCGTCCCCCCCTTCAAAAACTGGGGGGACGCCCCCCCCCCATCCCCCCAGGATTGACGCTCATGTTTTTGTTTAATTCCAGATTAATATCAAGTTTATGAAGGGTATATTAATGCCGATCAATTAGCCTTTCTCACGCCCCCATTTTTGGGGTACTGTAATTTTTTGTAACCCACAAAATTATAAAATGTCGCCGTTACGTGGTGTTACGCTCGTAGGATTGGCAAAAAAGCACCCCAAAAATGGCAGCGTGAGAAAGGCTAATTTTGATTATATTAAAATTAATAATTATCGAATTTACGTATTCGAAACAATAGATTACCATTTAAGATATCGATTTGTCGTTGTAAAATAGCATCTGACACGTCGCCACACTTGTTAAAATCAATGATAATGTGCCAAACAACAGGAACAATGTATCTCTGTTTACATGAGTTGCTCGGAGCATCATGAGACAAGCCACGGTCATGTAGTGAGTGATGATCTGAGTTCTCTAGGCGTGATGCAGGTTCCAGGTTGTGAGAAATGTCTGGGAGTATACATCGTCGCTTTGATAAATTTATCTCGACTCCATTGATTAAGAGTGTCAACGAAACGAGAATTGTAAATCTAGAAACATAAGAACGACTATGGTATAGGCTACATATTATTTTATTCCCCAGACAAACCCGACACCTTGGCTATATAGGTCGAATTAACCTGCAGGTTTATTGTATTGTTATCATTTATAGACCATCCGCTCAGGGGATTCGCTGTAATATTTCCCGAAGTGATGATATTTAAATATTATCACTGATAATATTTAAATATCATCAAAATTTAATATAATTTAATATAATTATAATATAATTTAATATAATTTAATATAATTTCCCGAAGTGATGATATTAAATATTATCACTGAGAGAAATATCGCCGAATCCCCCGAGCGGAGGGTCTATAAATGATATATTATACCGAAAGTTAAAGAACTCACTAAATTCAGAATAAACTTTAAAACTTGCTGAATATTAACTATGCGAATACAATTTTTAATTTCTTATGTATACCTGAGTTTTTGACGTTTCCTCTTTAAAATATTTGAGCATGTATCCTTTGGATCATTAAAGGTAACATACATCTTGAAAATCTTTGGTTAAATCAAATCTTCTGTACGAAATTTATACAAACAACAGCTGTTTGTTCCAAAAAATTGTTAATTTTTGCTTACTTTCTGATATCGTTCCATGGCTTCTATCTTTGGATAAACAATAGCAGTCTATCCTCGGGTTTATCTAGCCACAAGCTGTTGTACGCAAGTACCAATGTCACCGACACCATTGTAAAAACGTCGGTTAATAGTCATGCTCACTGGATTACGGTAAAACAACGGCCGTTGTCAAGCTCTTCTCAGAAACCTGTTTCTGGATGCCGTTTTCTACTTTATGCCTGCTACTTATCATTTACCCTGATCAGTTTATCCGGCGACGTTCAAACCAATCCCGGGCCCGATGGTTCGCTTAACTTTTGGTATCAGAACGTTAGAAGTTTAAAGGCAAATTATCGTGACTCTACCACAAATTGCGTCCTGAATAAGTTATCCTGTCTACAAGATGTTGTTTATGGCAACAGTATTGATGTTAGTGCTTTGACAGAGACCTGGCTGTCCAATCATGTACGAAATGATGAAATTTTACCGGTTGGATACAAGTTATTTAGGCGTGATCGACAAACTGGCAAACGGGGAGGTGGTGTATTGTTACCTGTGAAAGACTCTGTCAGAACTGAACCAACTGACTTTGTTTCAGATTCATTGGAACTTGCTTCTGTTGTGATTAATTCGTCATCCAAAAAAGTTCTTGTCGCTGTGTGTTATCGCCCTCCTGATTCCTCAATTGATTTCCTGCACGAACTGAACCGTTTCTTGAAATTTGTTGCTGATTCTCAATTTAAAGATGTTGTTTTAATGAGCGACTTTAATTATCCCAATATTCAATGGTCTGACGGATCGGGTTTTTCTACCATAGGATCAGAAATTGGTTTTATTGACCTTATCACTGATTTTAGTTACTTGCAACTAATCAACTCATCTACTCGTGGCCATAATATCATCGAC